ATGACCCTATTTCCCAATAAGGCCACATTCTGAGATACTGGGAGTTATGATTTCAATATATGAATTTTAGGTGAGTGGGTGGAGACACAAAACTGATAACAAGTGTTTTACTATAATTATCGGGAATGGTTTTTCTTTTAAGTTAATGATGTGTCCTTAGGATCAGTGAAATACTGTGGATTAATACCTGTGAAGTGCTTCACATGGCACCTGCCATGTAGTGGACACTCCACTAATGAGAACAATTGATGCTGTGAGCATGACAGTGAGCATGTTCTCTGTACCTCAGCTTTGTTGTCTGTAAAAGTATTTGCTGCAGTTGACAGAGGCATTGCATGTGCATGTGGCCAGCACCTGCACTTGTATTTAGCAGGCACTTGTCAATCTCTTTCCTTTTTTCTTTCATAGTGCCCACCCCAAGCCCCAATATAAGTCCACAGTGCTTAGCATATTGTTAGTACTTAGTAACTGTCTGTTGGTGAATGAGTGGTGGGCTAGGTGATTGTAATAGTTGAGTTTCTTTTGTTTGAAAATAAAGGAGTGCAACTTAAACTAGCTTTGTCAAAGAGGGGGCTTTGTTGGGTCATGAAACCAAACTGTAGCAAGGGTGGAGATGGGACTGGGTTTGGCAATAAACAGGGCCCAGGCACTCAGAGGCTAGATGGGTTCCCCTCTTTCTCCTCTCTCTCTCTCTCTGTATGATGGCTTTATTTTCTCATTCTAGGGGCAGATTCCTTCTGCATGGTGGGGAGATGGCTCCCAGTTGACCCTTGCTCTCATGCTGAGAACTTACCAGACAGACTAGAGGGCTTATCCTGTCTAGATTCTTCTAGAAAAACCCCAAGGAAGGACTTTGGTTGGTCTGGGGGGAACTAAATAAATCCCCTCATCTCCTCCCCACCCAGGGGAGGGCATGTAGATTGAGAGGTTAGAATCTATTCCCCCAAAGACATAGCACAGGGGTGGCCACTGGGGAGATGTGTCCTGGGTAGAGACCCCAGTGTTGCCACCCATTGCAATGAGGACTGGGACCATCACACGCACAGTTAAGGAGAGGCCACAAGGCAATACTGCTCAATAATAGCCACTTTATGCTTATTTACTTATTCAACAACTCTTTACTAAGTGCTTGCCCCATCCCAGGCTGTCAGCCAGGCCCATTATGTGCATTGTTTTTGTCAAGCCTTGCAATTCTATTGGATGAGTGGAGTAGTATCTGACTAGCAAGGAGCTGCAGGTGTAGGATTTACATACCTTGTCCCAGGTGACCCTGGTAGCAAGTGGCAGAGCTATAGCCAGAATCAACTAAGTCTTTGGAGGGTTCGAATTGTGGCCTCGCTACCCATTAGCTCTGTGACCTTAGGATAGAGACTTGTTGGTGCCTCAGTTTCCTCATTTTTCCTCATCAGTAAAACATGGACTGTCATAGGACCTATATCGTAGGTTGTGAAAATCAACGGAGATGATATGTATACAGGGCTTGTCACAAAACATGGCCCAGAGTAAGTGCCAAGTTCATATCAGATCACCTATTGTTGGTGTTTTTTTGTTGTTGTTGTTATATATTTTAGTATTATATTTTCTCCAAGTCCCTGTGATTTTTTCTGTGCCTAAAAGTGTTATATTTAAATAGGAGAGAAGGCGAATGGTGTGAGACCTGTGGCAAAGAATGTTACTCAGAGGAGGGTGGTCATGGAAGGCCTCCTGCATGCTATAGTCTCGATGTTTGTGTCCCTTCCAAATTCATATTTTGAAACGTCCAAGGTGATGGTATTACGACATGGGGTCTTTGAGAGGTGATTATGTCATGAGGGTTGAGCCCTCATGAATGGCATTAGTAGCCTTATATATTAACAATAAAAGAGGCCTGAGAGAGACCCCTCACCCCTTCCACCTTGTGAGGACACAGTGAAAAGGTGCTGTCTACAAACTAGGAAGCCCTCCCCAGACACCAACGCTGCTGGTGCCTTGATCTTGAACTTCCTCACCTCCAGAACTGTTGTATATAGGCCACTCTGTTTATGACATTTTGGGATAGCATCCTGATCAAACTGCGACACCAGGGGAAGAGAAAATCCAGCTGCTAGATTCTAAAAAAAGTCTCCTCTTTGCTGTTAGGATTTCTGGTGCCCAGTGCCTGGGCAAGAAGGGCCCATAGGTGATCTTACAACTTACTTTATTCTGCTCCCAAGGAGCCTGGGGCTGTGGTACCTGAGGCTCTAGAATGCAAGACTCCTTTGTGCTGTTGATGGGGCTTGATGTCTGGGAGGCTGAGGTGGGAGGATCACTTGAGTTCAGGAGTTTGAGATCAGCCTGAGCAAGAGTCACACCCCATCTGTACTAAAAATAGAAAAAATTAGCTGGGCATGGTGGCACATGCCTGTAGTCCCAGCTGCTCTGGAGGCTGAGACAGGAGGATAGCTTGAGCTGAGGAGTTTGAGGTTGCTGTGAGCCACAACATCACTGCTTCACTCTACCTGGGGGGAAAAAGTGAGACTTTGTCTCAAAAAAAGAAAGCTCAGAAATGTACATTTCTCAAGGCTGGGCATGGTGGCTTATACCTGTAATCCTAGCACTGTGGGAGGCCAAGGTAGGAGGATTGCTTGAGCTCGGGAGTTCAAGAAATATATACTTATATGGACAAGGGTTTCTTTCAAAGGTGAAAGGGCAATTCAGAGGGAAAACGATCATCTTTTTAACAAATGATGCTGAAACAATTGAGTATCTTGTGAAAAAAAGAATCTCAATCTATATATTGTACTATATAGAAAAATTAAAAGAGATCATAAACATAAAATTTTAAACTATAAGAACTATAAACTATAAATAATGTGGTAAAACAAAAGATTTCTATAGATACAAAAGTCCTCATTAAAATACTAGAAAACTGAATTCAACAGCATATATAAAAATAATCCACGATGACCAAGTGGGCTTCAATCTAGGGATGCAAGGATGGTTCAACATATGTAAATCAATAAATGTAATTTGCTACATAAACAGAAACAAAAACAAAGACCAAATGATCATCTCTATAGATGCAGAAAAAGCATTTGAAAAAAATCCAGCACTCTTTCTTGATAAAAACCCTCAACAAACTAGGCATAGAAGGAACATATCTCAAAATTGTAAAAAGCCATATATGACAACCCATACCGAACATCATACCGAATGGGGAAAAGTCAAAAGCATTCCCCCTAAGAAATGGAACAAGACAAGGGTTCCCACTGTCACCACTTCTATTCTACATAGTACTGGAAATCTTAGCCAGAGCAATCAGACAATATAAAGAAAAAGGATATCCAAATTGAGAGAGAGGAGGTCAAATTATCATTTTTCACTGATGATATGATCTTATATCTAGAAAATCCCAAAGTCTCCACCAAGAGACTCTTGGAATTGATAAATAAATTCAGCAGAGTCTCAGGTTACAAAACCAAGGAACACAATTCAGTAGCATTTCTATATGCCAATAAATGTCAAGCTGAGAGTCAAATCAAAGACTCAGTGCCATTCACAATGGCTACAAAGGAAATAAAATATACTTATATTTAGGAATATACTTATCCAAGGAGGCAAACATCACTACAGAACTACCAAACCTGGATGAAAGAAATTGCAGATGACACAAACAAATGGAATACTATATCATGCTCATGGATTGGTAGAATTAACATTGTTAAAATGTCCATACTGCCCAAAGTGCTTTACAGATTAATGTAATCCCAATCAAAATACCAATGTCATATTTCACAGATCTAGAAAAAATAATTATACACTTTGGAACCAAAAAAGACCCCAAATACCCAAAGCAATCTTAAGCAAAAAGAAGAGAGGTATCTGATGTTGAGCCTTTTGAGGATTTTCAGAGTACATTAGCTCTCAGCTCTCCCCACTGCTAGCTAAAATTCAGCTTTTTGGGGGTCAGCTGAATCCTTGAGTTCCTTTGCTTCCAGCTTCCAAAATTTTGTTGCTGTTTTCTCCCGTCCTTTTCTCTCCTTGTTATTTTGTCATCTGTCTGTCTGTCTATCTATCTATCTATCTATCTATCTATCTATCTATCTATCTATCTATCAATCATCTATCTTTCCCCACTGGAGTTTTGAGAGGAAGCAAAATGTGATACATGTATTCAATCTACCATCTTATTCTGGAACACCATACCAGTATTGATTTTATACGCTTGGATCTTGCACCTCCTCCTGACCGCACTTTATGAGCTGAAACTCTGTTTTCTTCAGTTTGACACCTTACATAGCAGTCTGTGATCCCCTGGCTCACTTGAATTGCTGTTCTTTGCCATTATGTCTTTGGGAAAGTTAATTAACTACAACTTCAACACAAATATCTTAGATAAGGTCATCTTATAATACAAATGAAGCACGAAACTAGCCCTTTTATTTTGGGCTATTAATATTGGCTGACTTCACCTGGAAAAAGTATTGCCTTTATTAGTAATGATTCCTATCCTCTTTGGAGTATCTTTTAGTTGAAAAGATCTAAATTTTCCTTGAAATCCTGTGGGTTTCTTATGACAGACTCTCAAGACTAAACTTTAAAATTGAGAACAATAAATGTTCTGATTCCTGTCAACAGCAATTCTTGGGAGATGATTAAGGGTCAGCATAGCATATTAACATTGTTGATCTAAAACAAAGCTAATAATTTTCATCCTTTACCCAATGTCCCAATCAGTGTTCTTAAGTTAATAATGTTAGCTTCCTGAAATGAGACTAGAGTCTTTATATTTTTCCATTTGTGAGATATATTTAATTGGATTTTAGCAGGCAGTATTTGAATTTCCATTCCATGAGGTGGTGCTGAGTAAATGCTAAGTGTAATAAAATGAATATTAAATCTCTTGTGTTTGAGTACTTCAAGGATGATCTGAGTATGAAAAAAGGATGTTATGCTGTGGACATGATATTAGTTTTTTATGCAGCTTTAACAAATTACCATAAATGTAGTGGCTTAAACAATTCAAATGTATTATCTTACAGTTTTGTAGGTCAGAAATCTGGCAGAGGTCTCATTGGGCTAAAATGAAGGCATTTGCAGCGTGTATTCCTTTCTGGAGGATCCAGGGGGGCGTAAGTTTTCAGCTTATTTGAGTTGTTGGTGGAATTCAGTTCCTTTAGTTTGTGAGAATGAGGTCCCCATTTTCATGCTGGTTGTAAACTGAGGGCTGTTCCCATCTTTTAGAGGTCACCACATTCCTTGGAACATGGCCTTCTTTTTCCATCTTAAAAGCCAGCAGCAGCAGACTGAGAGTCCTCATGTCAAATCTCTCCAACCCTTCTAGCCCACAGCTCTCTGGCCACAGCTGGGAAGTATTCTCCAATTTTAAGGATGCATGTGATTAGATTGAATATTCTTTGATAATCCAGGATAATCTCCCCATCTCAAAGTTGGTTACCTTAATCATATCTACAAAGTCCATTTTGCCATCTAAGGTTCTAGAGATTAGGGTATGGACATCTGTGGGGGAACATCATTCTGCTTACCATATACAGTAAACACAGTTTGTTCTGTAACTGATAAATGAAATTATTAAGAATTGGCAGCTTGAAAATTCAAGGTAAAAACTTTCTCCTAGAATGAGTAAGTGTTGTATTATTTGCTTAAATCTATTAAAGGTAGACAGGAGGAACACAATCAGCTTTTGATAGTATTCCTCTTCCTTCAAAAATCTGGTTATTTTATCTTTAATTTTTCGTTAGGATTCTTCAGAATAATAAAGATTGTACTTTTATCCTTTTGTAAATATTGATTGCATCTACCCTCCAAAGTGACAGCCATTGCAATAGGGCAGATTAAAATGGGCAACTCCTTTTTGCTATCCTAAGACACTGACAAAGTCATTTAAGTAGAAAGCAAATTAAAATGGAGGTACTGAATAGTTTCAGAGGCAAATGTTGCCTTTCTTTGCTATCTCTTACGCAAAAACTTCAGTGTATGATACTAAGACAGACTGGCAATATTGTCTACTGTCTTTTATCATGCTCCAAAAAGCAGTTGATTATCTTGGAAGGGCTTCAAAAGCAATTAAGAAAATCCCTTATGTCAAGTTACATTTCAGACAGGACAAATTAGATGTATGGGGAAATGTCCTGATAAAGTACTTGAGAAATAATGAATCTATGTACAATTTGTAATTGCTCCTGCAAAAAATTTACAACATAAAAGGGCCTGTTAACCTGAGACTAGAAGCTCAGTGATGGTTTTTTTTTTTTTTCATTACAAATGCAAATGCCTTATGAAATTGAGCCCAGAGCATTTCTAAATGTCCAAAATGTAATTCAAAACATTGTTTATTACATTTCTGTCTGGGCTCGTCACTGCACACAAGCTGCTTTGTAAATGCTGACTTTTCAGCCAGCAGGTCTGCAATGAGAAATGGCCAATTTGGCTGGCTGATGTAGAGCATGTCCTAAAGGGCAGTTCTGCGCCAGGATGAAGGGTAAGGGTTAGCCCAAATGCCACAAAAGGATGATGACGGATGGTAATTGAAAAGACATTCTAGTTAAGTGTCCATGAGAGTGTTGCATTTGGTTTCTACCTTATGCATTAAAGGTAGATAATCTTCAATCTGCATAACTGGTCCCTGTAACTACAGAACAATGCAGACTCCATGGATCACTGGATAATGAGTTGCTGGGGGCAGGAGTTGGTGGGTTGGGCTCTGGAGGCTGGGGCTGCCCAGTCAGAAAGAGGTATCATCTAGATAGAGTACTTTTATCACAGTGCTGGGAAATTCAAATGCAATTTCCTTCCCTTATGAACTGCTATTCCCCTCTGAGTAGAATGATTTCAACTCTTCTTAACGACTTGGATTTTATCCTCAATTTCCTAACTTTTGAAGTATGGATGTGCCCATTGCTAATTTTTTCCCCCTCATGGTAAACATTAGCAAGTGGGAAGTTATTATAGGGTTATTATACAATATTTATAGACTACTTTTTATTTGTGAAGTGTTTGAAGGTCTCTTAAATATGAACCGTTTCCAAATAACCTTGGGCTCATTTTTTATCTTGATCCAAATCCCATGGAAGCAAACTAATCATGAAGCTCTCTGAAAAGTCATTGGGAGCCCCAGGCTCAGAACCCAGCTGTGCAGCATGAACTATTAGGCCCAGTGCTGCTGGAAGCTTTGAGTAACTGAACCACGGGGACTGATGCTCATTTAGGAATCAAAGTTGGTGCTTTGTTTCCTGAAGCCTTTGCCTAAGCGGAGGAAGGTGGAATAAATCCCTCATAGGAGTCCAAATTGCATAGACTTTAAACACAAATTCTCAAAACAATTCCTTTCGAGACAGCTTAACAAAGTGATATCTTTTCTGTTTAAAGACGAGGGAACAGCAACCACAACAAAGCCAATAAAAAAATAAACCTCAGGGTATTCCTATCCACGGGATGACTCTGATTTCTAAAGTTTGTCTTCATCAGTGTTCTCTTCCACTTTCATCAGTCCATATTCTCTCTTGGAGAGCTTTTCCCAACTCCCATCCTCAAATATCATTACAGGTACCCACTCTGAAACCTCCCCATTATTTCTCTTATTTTTGATTTATCGTCCCCTGATGTACAACTTGATTGTATTCCTTTCTGTTTCTCATCAAAGTATGTTTTTCCTGATTGTCTCCAGAGTCATCATTTGACATAATAACAGTGTTGCTTACTAGATATTAATACATTTCTCAGTGCTTTATTTGTATGAATCCATTTATGTTCAAAATAATCCTATTGCGTAGTTATCATTACTGTGCCCATTTTGCAGGTGGAGAAACCTAAGACTGGGTGATGATAGATATGTTAAGTCTCCCAGCTGGCAGGTGGTGTAGTCAGGATTCATGCGCAGGTGATTTGGCTCTGGAGTTCATACTTCACTCCTGCTTTGCACTGGCTCTTGTAGTGTGGAGAGTCTCAGTCAACTTTAAGGTCACAGAGACCTGGGTTTGAATGCAGATTCTGACATTTACTCATAAACATCTTGGAAACTTGACCTTGGTTGGGCAAGTTAAGCAACTTCTCTAAGCTCTGTTTCCTCAGCAGTTAAAACGGGAATATTTGTGTGAAGAAAACTGAGATAACGCCCACAAAAGTCCATGGCCATAGTAGGTGCTTGATGAAGTTTAAAGTGTTAGCTTTAACTTTCTCTCCCTCTATATTCTCTCCTCAACTACGCGATTTGTGAATGAAATCAGCTGATTTGTGTATGTTGATGGGGAAGGGGTTTAATATGTTGCCTTTCTCTAAGGCAACTACAGGCTTCACGACTTTTCAGGTTAGTAGAGTTTCCAACACTTCAATCCACCCAAGCAAGGGTTATATCTTCTCTGAAACTGTACTAAGTCATATGTGCTTGGATATACTTATTTTGATCTGGATCCTTTATATTTCACTTGCATGTGCTCATTGATGTGATCTTCAGGAAATATTTTGAATGAAGAAATGAAGTAGAGCAGCAACCACCTGCTTCTGGGTTTGTATCGTATAATGAAGAGCTGGTGGGCTGGTCTGGTGCTCCAAGAATGGCGATGACCCATGTCAGATGCCTCGGCAGTAGTGAGAATCCTCTCTGGCTATGCAGCCAGCTGTTCCTAGCTACATACCGGCAGTGAGAAGTTCCCTTTCCAAACTGAACCTTTTCTGGGAATCACATGGGCTATTAATTTTACAATGGCAAATACAACTGCAGATGGCTGTGTGCAAGAAGGGGTTGCAGGATAAACATGCTAAGTTATCCACTTTCTGGGGCCAAAATGGAAATTTTTATTTTTTCTGTTACACTTATCTCAATAGCAATTAGAATCACAAGCTATTGCCAAGTTTCAGTTATACTTACTTATATGTGGTAAGGATATGAAAAGTTTGTTGTATTCAGATACTTCCTCAAGTGAGTCCTCATATTATTTTCATCATCAGTTTGGATGATTCTTTCTCTCTACACCCATTTCTTTATTTGATTTTACCATATGTAAATATGGTAAATTTGAGAATGTTAATCTGTAGATATTTATTATCTATATGTAATTTCCTGTGCATTTGAAAATATCAAGAAAAAACATGATCCTTGTCCTTAAAAATCTTGAAATCTAGTTAGAGCTGAGAGTCAAACTGTAAAAATGCTACACAAACATATTAATATTTTTGAAACCATAGCTATTTTGCAAACTACCAATTATTTAGCTATCCTTCTAAAGATAGTCTATGTACAAACTAAGCATATATTATGTACATATATATTTTTTAAAACAGTTGAAAGGAGGTTGTATATACTGTTATGTTCCTTGTTTTTCTTCACTGAACAGTATGTTTTGAAGGTTATTTCACAGCTGTACATATATTTCTGCTCCATTATTTTTAATAGCTTTATAGTATCTCATTATATAAAAAACAGTTATTTTCTTTTATTATCACCTTATTGTTTTAACCCCAACAGGTACACCAAACTTGATCATTTACCTCCTCAGTCTTGAATTGAAATGAATTTTAATTGATTACAAAAAACAGCTCTTAAAGAGAAAATTTTAGTAACATTGAGGATTTTGACACAGAAGTTTGGAACATTATTGAAACAAGCATATGTCCTTTCTCTCTATTTTGAAGGGGGTGACATTATTTGGATTTCCATTCTGGCTTATTTGTTTTAAAAAACAGCCTCATTAAATCACAATCATCACATAACAAATTCTAAGAAAGCATCGAAGGTCTTCCAAGTATGGAGCAATTATGGGAGTGATTTTAATAGTGGTACCATCATGTGTTATGGCCAAAAATGACAGTAAATGCAATCCCTTCCCCTTGTTCCATTCACATTTGAAACTGGGGATTTGGCTTCCTCTAGGTTTTTCTTTCTTTCTTTTTTAATCTTATTGTGGTAAGAACACTTGACATGAGATCTATCCTCTTATATTTTTAAGCATATAATGTTAATTATAGCAATGATGTACAGCAGATCTCTAGAACTTACTCATCTTGTATAATTGAGACTTTATGGCCATCAAATAGCAACTCCTCATTTCTCCCTCCTTCCAACTCCTGTCAACCATCATTCTATTCTCTCTTCTTAGAGTTTGACTATTTTAAA